AAGTGACCAGGGCTTGTGTCGAGGCAGATCGTACATCGTAAATAGGACTACGAACTCTGATCGATTGGTACCAATTCTATTGCAATAATCAACTGAAGTTTTCTGACCGATCTGTACTACAGGTCAACTGTTGATGTTACCGCAAGATCCAGTTCAGTTAACTCGCTACCTCCATTTTCATCCTCCCTCCCCAGAGGCCTCAAAATGAGCACACATTGACACACAGTCATGACCGGTGCCGGTGGGCTCGCCATCGATTTTATTTCTGTGATATCTTTCTTATCCAATTCTTCCAAAGCCTTGGCTGCCATTTCAAGTGCAGGTAGCGCTCTGAAAAGATTCATCACGATAGAGACAATCCGAATCGGATACTCAAAAACTTCTCGACGAGATACTACAATAAACCGCCTAAAAATCGACTAAAAATTTCAAAGACAACCACGTGCTATACATTTTCTACAATATTTTACAGAAAAACCCTATTCCAAAAGAGGAAAGGTTCCTTTTCTGTCGTTATCAAGAAACTAAGCAGCATGATATGATCACCGAAATGACTTCGAGAGTATTCCAAGGCCTCCACGACACCTCCAAGTCGTTCTTCTTGACCTATTCCGACTTCCTCGAATGACGGAATTTGAACGAAATTTCCTCCTCCAACACCACAAGAACAACACCGCACCCCCTCACTCAGCTAGTGCTGTATCAGCATCTTCCTTCTCCCGTTGGATGATGACATTATCATCAGCAATTTGCTTAGCCTGCTCATTAGCCACCTTTTGATGCTTCGAAACCGTCATCGATTTCTCATTGATTTCCTCAATCAACGTACCAACCGCCAACGCCTTCTCATCCACTATCACTTTCTTCGCCGCTAAATCCTTACCTAAACGACGAGGGATAATTCCTCCCCGATCCCCAAGGCTTTCTCCGCTTACTCATAATTGTCACTTGCTCTGCTGCTTGTACCAGTTTGTCCAACCCTCCTCCCAATCGCTGAGTTTGAGCGACGATCGTCTTACGATTCTTAGCGAGAAGGTCTTCGTATCCCGAGAGGAAATCCAGATAGTTCTTCGGCGTAGCGAAATTACGCCTCTTAAATCTGCGACACTCAACACTCGGCCAAACCAGCCGAGCCAGTGGACTCACTTAGCCTCAAAATCCGGACTGTACTTGGTGGTCACCGACAGATGGGCTTCGCATATGAAGTGATTAATATCCTCCCTGTTCTCAGCAGGAATATCACACCTGAGAGGAGGTACCCGGTTCAAATCCTTCACCCGTCATTTCTCACTCTGCCAACAACTGAGTTGCCACTGCCAAGAGAGCGTCATTCGGCCACGGCTCGAACCAGTCGATTGTCGTACACGTGACCAGACCAGGGAAGTTTCTACAGCGAACTCTAAGAGCGCTCCCGGCTGGGCTCATTGCCAATACCATATGCAATTGAGATCTTATATGGTTAACCTGATAGGCATACACACATATCCACAACATGGACATTTTATGCAACCAACACACTGTCAATTTATTTCCACAACCACACCCTCAACTGTCCATCACTAATATTAATAAGCCATCAACATCAACCAGAAAAGCAACTTCGCACTGACTGCTAAGATTCTCACCGCGACCCTTCCCCCACCCCACACTCACACAGTAGGTCCACATACGACTCTCACTCACTCCTTCAGCCTTCGCTTTACTCCTTATCCCCGATATCAACGATTCCTTCTCATCATCAGCAAACAATGCCGGCACCATTCCTACCGTCAACATGTTATTAATATATTCCAAAAA